AGATCCCAAAAAGATTCAAGCTATAGTGGATTGGCAACCCCCAAGGAATGTTTCTAAAGTTCTGAGTTTCTTGGTGCTTGCTGGTTTTTATAGACGGTTCATGAAGAACTTCTCAATGTTAGCTTCACCGCTAACTAAGTTGTTACAGAAATATTTGCCTTTTGTTTGTATAGAGAAATGCGAAGAAGTTTTGAAATGTTAAAGAGAATCATAACAGAGGCCCCAGTGCCCTTACAACCTGAGTCGGGTAATGACTATGTAGTCTTTATTGATGCATCTCACAATGGATTAGGATGTGTACTTATGCAAGACGGAAAATTTGTGGCTTATGCCTCAAGACGGCTAAAGAATCACGAGAGAAATTACCCGACACATGACTTTGATTTGGTAGCAGTCATGTTTGCTTTGAAAATTTGGTGTCATTATCTGTACGGTGAGCGTTGCCATATTTATACGGGTCATAAGAGTCTAAAGTACTTGCTGACTCATAAAGAACTGAACTTGAGACAGAGAAGATGGATCGATCTTTTAAACGATTATGATTTGATCATTGATTATCATCCCAGAAAGGCTAATGTGGTAGTGGATGCACTTAGCCGAAAGACTTTTACCGCTCTAAAGGCCTTGGACGCGCGTATGTCTTTAAAGGAAGATTGTGCTTTATTGCTGAACTTAAGTTAATGTCGATGCTTTTGGATCAGATAAAAGAGTTGCAAGGTCAAGATGAGAAATGCTTGGCAACAATGGCGCGAGTAGAAAAAAGAGGTCAAAGACTTTAAAATGATGTATAATAGATGTTTATATTATCGTAGAAGACTTTGCATTCCCGATGATGATGAGCTGAAGAAATATATTCTTTCTAAGGTACACTATAGTCCTTTGACGATGCATTCGGGCGAGAATAAGATGTATCAGGATTTAAAGAGTTGTTATTGGTGGCCTAGTATGAAAAGAGTTGTATAAGAGTTTGTTGCGAGATGCTTGACATGTCAACAAGTTAAAGTTGAACATCAAGTGCCATCTGGATTGTTACAATCGATATCCATTACTGAGTGGAAGTGGGAACGAGTTACAATGGATTTTGTTTCAGGGCTACCTTTGTCACCAGGTAAAAAGGACTCGATATGGGTAATTATAGACAGATTGACCAAGTAGCTCACTTTATTCCAGTTCGGGAAGATTACTCGATGGATAAATATGCGGAATTGTATGTAAAAGAGATAATTAGGCTACATGGAGTGCCTATATCGATAGTGTCCGATCGAGACCCAAGGTTTACTTCAAGATTTTGGAAGTCCTTGCAAGAGACATTGGGTACTCGATTGAATTTCATCACATCTTTTCATCCGCAGACATATGGGCAGTCAGAACAAACTATTCAGATATTAGAGAATATACTAAGGGCATGTGTGATTGAGTTTAAAGGGTCATGGGAAAGGTATTTGCCTTTAACGGAATTTTCTATAATAACAGTTACCAATAGAGTATTAAGATTACCCCATATGAAGCTTTGTATGGGAGGAAGTTCAGCACCATTAAATTGGTTTGAACTAAAAGATTGAGACCTAGTTGGTTCAAATTTGATGAAAGAAATGGAGAAGAAAGTGGAAATTATTCAGGATAATCTAAAGATAGCCTACGATCGACAAAAGTCCTATGCATATTTGAAATGAAAAGAAATTGAATTTCAAGTCGGAGACAAGGTATTTCTGAAAGTGTCGCCTTGAAAGAAAGTATTGTGATTTGGGTGCAAAGAAAAGCTGAGTCCGAGATTCATTGGACCTTATGAGATTTTTAAATGGGTCGGACAAGTAGCATATCAATTAGTTTTACCTCCAGATATGGATAAGATCCATAATTTTTTCACGTGTCGATGCCCAGAAGGTGCTGATCAGATCCATCATGTCATAACACTCGAAGAAATAGAGTTCCGACCAGATTTAACTTACGAGGAAGAACCAGTGCGGATCTTGGCTAGAGAAAACAATGAACTGCGTAACAAGAAGATTCTTTTAGTTAAAGTGCTCTAGCAAAACCATAAGGTGGAAGAAGCTACTTGAGAAAGAGATGAGGACATGAGGAAGCATTTTCCACACCTCTTCGTATCAAGTACTTCTTTAAATTCGAGGACGAATTTTCTTAAGGGGAGAATTGTAATACCCCAAATATTAGGTCAATGACTATATTGAAATGATTTAAAAATTTGGAGGATTAAATTGAATAAATGGTAAAGTATAAAAAATGATTTAGAAATTGTGTTTAAGACTAATTAGTAAGAATGAAAGAATTAAAGGGTATTTTAGACCTTTAGAAGGAAATGAATTTAAAATTCATTTTTATTAGGATATTTATGAGTAAGAAAAAAGGAAAGTTGAAAAAAAGGAAGCTAAGTTATCTTCTCTTCCCGTGTGCCCGTTCACTCCGTAGCCAAAGGTGAGTTTCCTCCAAGTTGGTTTTTCATTTAGTTTAATGGATGGTATTGAAACCTTGAGTGTTATAGAGGCTTAAGGAAAGGTTAAAGATGATTAAAACTAAGAGATGGATGATTTATTTGAGATTGAAGAAAATGAGTTTTTGAATGATATGTTGAAATATGAGTTTCTATTGAGGTTTGCCAGTATATTTGACTTGTCAACTAAGTAAATAAGTGATTAGAAGCATTGTATGTGATTAAAAACATGTATGAAAAAGTAGTATGATTCTTAGTTTGGGATGTTCTTTGGAGAATTTATATGTTATAAGAAGCTAAATGGAGGAAAGCTAGTTGAGTTAAGTGATGTTAAGTTTAAGGATATTGTTTGAGGTAAAAGTAAGTGATTTAAATGAAAATTGGGTAAAAATCGAGTTGAAAAATGGAAAATTTGGAAAATGGAAAATAGGTTTAAATTTTAAGAATTACGATGAACAATATCGATACTGATGCAATTAGTATCGATACTGCTATGGGTATCGATACTAAGAAGAAGATATCAATACCATGGATTCTAGAATGTGGAAATAGTATAGATATTAAAAGGGAGTATCGACACCATAATATAGAAGTATCGATACCATGGTAGGGGTACATATACTATTGAGCCTGGAAAATTTAAGATAGGAGGAATTTTGATAGAAATTGAATATAGTACTTTTGAGTATTATTAGAAGTATAAATATTAGAGAGTATACTAATATTGGTATGGTATGTGTACTTAATGGATGCTTGTATAGATCATAAACAATCTCCTAAGTCAAGCAAGAAAAAGGGCAAAGATAAAGTTGTTGAATAGTCGGACATCATTACAGCATACTAGTGAGGCTTATCAGTGAGTGCATTTATTGTACTTGTATCAAAGGAGGAAGACTCGTGATGAGCAACCTTGAATGTTTTATTAAATGTATGTTTTACAACATTCTAGTATATTTTCATAATGTATATAGAAATGATATTATGAATAAGTTTTAGAGTATGAACTACTCTAAAATGAATGGATGAATACTAATGAAAATGCATAACAATGCATTTTCAGCATAAAAGGTGCTACTAATGAAAATGCATAACGGTGCATTATCGACATAAAAGGTGCCACTAATGAAAATGTATAACTGTGCATTATTGGCATAAAATGTGCCACTAATGAAAATGCATAACAGAGCATTGTCGGTATAAATGTGCCACTAATGAAAATGCATAACGGTGCATTATCGACATAAAAGGTGCAACTAATAAAAATGCATAACGATGCATTATCGGCATAAAAGGTGCCATTAATGAAATTGCATAACGGTGCATTATCAACATAAAAGGTGCCATCAATGAAAATGCATAACGATGCATTATCGGCATAAAAGGTGCCACTAATGAAAATTATCGATCTATTTTGATTAATGTATAACGGTGCATTATCGGCATAAAAGGTGCCACTCATGGTATTCATAAAATATGAATGACCATTTCGGCACTTCGGTGCAATGCATGTACTTTACATTCTCATTTAACATACATTGGGCAAAATAAAAGATAATTAGGTACAATATACAGAAAATGAGGTATGTTGAGCATACTAAGAGTAGTTTCGAAAACTATATGAAAGAAACATGGTTTAAATGAGATGGTTTTTAACTGATCCTTATGAAATATACGATTTAGTTTGTATTTTCAAATAGCCATGATATATTTATGCATGAATTATAGTTCCTTTACATTATAATGCCTCACTAAGTAAATACTTAGCTTGTATTGATTCACGCGTGGGTAAGAGCAAAGACGAGCAGAGTAAGGAGTGCAACAAAGATCATCAATCCAAGATTAACTCATCAGTAACTATAGGACAATAAGGTCTTCTTTTGATAATTAGATGGCATGTATATGAATATAAGAAAAATGCTCTGTAATGTATTCAAGTTAATACTTTGTAATAGGTTACAATGAATGTTTTATCTTATATTAAAATGTTTTGTTTTTATTTTCGAAACAAAATTTTATGGGTTTACAAATAAGAAAATGTTTTTAAAAGACATGTGACAATTGTGACTTGTGTAAGGGAACATATACGGGAAACGTGTGTTACATTAACAATGAACTTAATCAATTTATCGATACAATTCAATTTATTTATAGAGTATTAATTTATAAAGATTCTATTGTTTTATATATTTTGACAAAAATAAAATGATATCAATATCACGTAATCTTATGACATAAAATTTAGAAGTTAATTATTTTCAATTAATTGATTGATTGCTTTTATTTTTCTTTTGAATAAATTCATCAGAATTATTCGAATTACCTTTTTCATGCTTGCATTAGAAGAAAAAAATATTATCACCTAATTTTATGAATTTAATTGATAAAAAGTTAGAATTTAATAATTTTCAATTATTTAATTACCTTAATATTTTCAAATAATTTCTCTATAATTTTTCTAATTACCTTTTATCTTTGTTTTAACTTGATGAATGTAAAGTTGTAATGCAAGTTAAAGGAGATATTAAAAATAAAGAAATAACGAGAGAAAAAGAATAAAAATATAGGAAAGGGTTGATATTAATTATTTAGTAATTAAAGGCGAATAGCAGCCAAATACATGGGAGTTGCTCAAATTCAATTATGTATAAGATTTAGGCTTTGGCAATCCCTGGACGATGCCGCACAGTAGAGTGCTATCGGGGATGTTGTACTCGTCCCTCAGTGATTTTTCAGGCGATAGAATACTGGCATAGAATTGTTCCCCCAAGTAAGTTCTCTCCCAAATCTCCGATCTGATGTTCCACATGCCTGCATTATCAAACGTCAAAAGTATGGCAGCCCACGACTTTGGGAACACTTGTATCGTGTGCCTGCTCACTGCATCGAGAAGATTGTAGTTCATCCTCTTCTCGGGACTCCATGTCCCTGGCTCTACCGCCACCGCGAAGAATGAGTACCCGTCCAAGTGGTACGACTGGAGGCTTTTCTCGTGGTTCTCGAAAATGATCTCCACGAAGTTACGGAACGTCATGTTGACGACATTCGGTTGTTCGATGAAGTCTGTGGTATTTTCTTGTTCATCCTTCATGACATCGTATTTGAAAACCTTGTCCGCCATGTTAAAGTATTCCGCAAGCTTCAGGGGAGTGGCTGGGTTAATATGAGAGACACGGTTAAAGCCGTAACGGAGCTTGCCGTTGGCTCTGCTAACACCGTTCGCCAGCTTGATAGTGCGGGTGATGTTAATAGCACCGTAATGGTACGATCCTTGAGGATTTGGCCTTGCGGCACTGGCGGTAAGATTCCATCGGAAGGTACGGAACTGATTCAGCGACCAAGCCCAACCGACCGGAGCGGGGGGAAGCTCAGGTGAGGCTTCACCATTGCCATTGGTGTAGCTAATGATTGCAGTGCTAGTCTGAACATCCTTAAGAAATCGGGTGGATGCTACAATATAATAGTCCTTTGGGGCTTGGTCGGCAGTAACAAGAACCGTAAAACATTGTCCGTTATGTACATCCAAGGAATCGTACGAGTTCTGAACGGTGTGGGAACCCTCCATTTCCACAAGTTTCATAGTGTGGCCTTGGATCCTGAAGTTGATAGAGGCCTTGAGTCCTACATTGCAGATCCTGTACCTGTATGTCTTGCCAGGCTCCATGGTGAACAATGGTTCCTGCTTGACTCCAACTTTACCAGCTTTACCATTAATAAGGACACCATCAGGCCTACCCAAGGGACGACCGCTATCCAAAAAGCCCCTCAGTTCCTTGTGGCTCTTGGTATACCAGTCACCGACGAGGACGGTATAATCTTCGGCGGGTTCATCGTAAGGGATAGGAATAAGCGCACGGCTGTGCACGGTAAGACCACCGAACCCACCGGCTGCCCTATGTAATGCCGTAGAGGGATAGTAGATGTAGCTGCCGATCTGGTCCTTCACCTGGAAATGATACGTGAAGTTGGTTCCCGTGGCAATAGGACAGTTGGTTCCGGGCACTCCGTCTTGCCAAGAATTCTTCCTCTGTTGGATTCCGCTCCATGTGAAAAGGAAGGGCTCGTCAAGATAGTTAAACACATTGACCACGACGTTATTATTGGTGGTGGAGTTGATGTTGGGCCCGGGGAATTCGCCATTGACGAGAATCACTTGCTCAGGAACTCCCAACGGAGAGATGGTGCCGTAGGTAACGTTCCATGTGAAGAACAAGTAAGGGTCTTCACCGCGGACACCGGAGGTCGATGCTCCGACTAGGAAGCACACGATGAGGTTAAGGATTACCCTGGTAGCCATCTCTCTTCAGTAATCGACTGCTCGGTTCGATTACTATGTTATTATAATAAATGTATCAAACCCTAAACCTATTTATTATATGCGAGGAAGAAGATGCTTTGCTTTGCTTCTTCCTCACTGCCTTACCTCTGCCATTGTTGCTCCTATTTTATAGTGCAATTAGACCATCCAATCTCTATTTTCGACCATCCAATGTCCGATTCCATCGCCTTATATTATTCTTCAATTTTTTTGTTCAAAGCAACTCAGTTTATTTACCTATTTTTCTTTGGTATTTCGTAAATTATAAATCAACCATGGAAAAATCCTATCAACCAAATCTTGTCATTCGAACAACTAGAGACCTTTTTAAAACTTAATTCTTCAATAGCCAAATAAATTAAAATGATTGGATTCATATATAAATTAAGTTTATTCATTAGCGTTACATAACTTGATCACATGATTTCAATCGAACTATACTAATTGTTACAAAATATTAGGGTGAAAAGGTAAAAAGAAGAAGCATTAGACATCCCTCTACTTAAAAATTAATATGATCATCGTATTATTTTTTTCTCTTATTCCAACTCAGGAAATAAATCCAATGTCGTCCTTTGACCAACTTTTTTCGTCGTTAAGCGTTACTGTAACATTCATTACCTGTATAAGTATACTAATACGAGTTATAGATGTCACATCAATTGTTTAAAACATTTGCTAACTCGAATGGGTGATTTTTTTTCTTTCTTGTCCAAATCATAACCATTAATATAAAATATTTAATGACATAAAATCAAAACATAGTATTTAAAACATAATTTAATATAAAAACATCCATTCATACTGATAATATTAGATAAAACTAACCTTAATAAAACATAGTAAGACAATTCTAATTTGACTATTACAAACCAATTCAAAAAGGGTTTAACAGAGCAACTAAGACATATACAAAGTACATGTCACTGACTAAGTCAAAATCACATCGAAGGATGTCTTATTGATACTGTAAATATACTCCTTGATGCTTGGGATTTATCAATACTCCTTACTCCTACGTTTGCTTTTTACCTATGCGTGAAAATCATCACATGATAAGTATATACTTAGTGAGGCAATTAAAATAATAAGCAATGCAATACATCACATCCATGTAATTAAATATCATTGTCAAATGTGATATGATCACTTTACTTGCATATCCATTGTACTACCATAATAAACATGATAATAATTCAATTATAGTAATATTATCAGTAAACCATAGCCCAAAATATAATATTATGAAGACCTTGGGTATTCAAGTCAAAAACCTGCACCGTAGTGTTGTGATACATAAGGTCATGCCCACCACCTACACTAATTGTGCTTACACACTGTAGTGCTGAATCAAACCTGCAGTTGTTGGATTCTATGGCATGCCAACTACACCCTCTCATTCCATGACTTATTTGGACTTATAGTATATTTTATTCAATCCATAACAATATATATATATATATATATATATATCAAAATCATTTAAACTTTGGGAATTTCATACCAAAAATAACATTCACTAATATATATCAACAAGTGATCAATGCATTTACATTCAACTCTTGACATATTTAAAATATGTCAAGTATGTGAAAATGACATAAATATCATGCTAACATAAATAAGGTAGACTCATCGCAAGTCTTCCTAATGATGTATAAACATCCATGTATAATGTCATGCATGCATTGCACTCACCTTGACACTTTATATATACATCAAAATATTAGCCTTACTAAACTTCTAATTTGCTCCTCGTTTACGATTCATTCATATCACGAATTCAATCACGATATATACAAATCACATACATATTGAAAACATATGTTAGTATTGTTCTAAAATAAATAAATTTCAATAACAAAAACCCATAAAAATATATTCGAAACTTATTCGATATCCAATCACTTTAACATTTGTGAATTCTTTTAATTTTGGCACCAACTTTTCCAATTTACGCAAAATGATCCTTCACCATTTTACCCACTAAATTTTCAACACTAAAATTCGAGCATTGACATAAATACCAGTCAAATACGTTTTCAAAGGCATAATTACCTTTTAACACCCTAAACTATTTGAATTTTCCATAATTGTCACTTAACTTACCAGGCTTCTAAATTGATCCAATACCACATTCTAACATCAATTTCAACTATCAAACAGTAATTTACAGCATAGTACATCAACTATTGGAAAATTACACATCAACCCTATAACTTTTCAAAATTACCAAATAGATCCCTAACTTTCACAAAATTACAAAATGGTCCTAAATTTTTCTAAGGCTTATAGAACACTTACCAAATCATTTCCAACCCACATAAATTTTTCATAATTTTATCATCCTCAATAGTCTATGTCGAATACTCTAAACATTCTATATTAGGGTTTTTCATGATTTCACTTGATTTCGATTTGATTCGAGCATGAAATCAACCTCTATTCAACATTATAAAATCTCTATAATCAAACCCATAATTACATTTCTTCAAAACACAAATTTTCCCTAATTTTAGGGTTGGCTGAAACTTAAGGAAGCATCTCTAGGAGGTTTGATCATGTTTTGATCATCAAACAAGCTTGGAAATGAATCTACTCCTCAATAACATCAAAATCCATCATCAATTCATGAAACCCTAATAAGAACATAAACCCTAGGATTTGGGATCTTTGAACTCAAACAAGATTAGCATGCAATAATTGTACCAAATGATAGTGTTTTTTTTCCGCATAGAATAGTTTTCTATTTCACGATTTGATCCAAAATCCAAAGAAAATTGCTAAAAAATGAAAAGAGAAATTTTCTCTTACTTAAGGTTATGCTCCACGGCTTGGAAGGGAGAAGATGAACAAGCTTACATGAAATTTTAGCTTAATTTCATGTTAATTTATCATTTATTTAAGCTTAAATGAATTTAAAATTCATTTAATTGAGAAATGACAATTTTTCCACGAATAAAACTTTATATTTAGAACCATACCAAGCTACATAACCCTTATCATCTTTCCAAAGTCAAATATGAACAAAATAATGCACCCTTTGCCATTTTAACCATGAAGTTTCCAAAAATATCAATCTTGCCACTTTAATCCAACGATCCAAATTGAACATGAAAATAAATTCCCAAATCCAATGGTTTATATTATTTTTCCATCATTTTAAAAAGTGGAAATAATATTTGTAAGCTTAATTTATCATCCTAAAAATTTTCTCAAAATTTCTATTCGATCTGATTTACCAAATTTTTACCGGAAAGGCTGAAATACTCGGTTCATCAAGTCTATAAATGTTGCAGGAGCATTGGTCAAACTAAACGGCATCACCACGAACTCATAGTGTCCATACCGAGTTCTGAAAGCTGTCTTTGGAATATCTTCCTCTTTAATATTTAGTTGGTGATATTTTGATCGAAGATCAATCTTAAAGAAAATTGTTGCTCCTTTTAGTTGATTAAACAAATCATCAATCCTCAGAAGAGGATACTTGTTCAAACATGGTAGATGGACTACCACGTCAGTATCGTGGAACATCATATCAGTACTGTGAACTGTCACATCAGTACCGTAATGGTCAAACGACGATAAGTGTTTATCAAACTACCAGTTTGAGTTTATTTTCTGAGTTAAAGGACTACATTGAGAGAAAAAAATAATAAGATCCATTGGATTTTTTTCAAGAGTTAAAATGGGACAATTTTATCATGGAAAAGTTAAATTTTCTTTTGGCAAAAAATAAAAAAAATAGAAAGAGAAATATACCTAGTAAAAATTGTTGATTTTTTTCAAAAAGATAATTTAAATGGGACAGTTTTAAAATATAAAAGGAACAAATTTAATATTACACTACATTTTCCTTAAAAAAACTTACAATAGTTATTAATTTTTATAATAAATAATACGTAAAACTATGCTTCTTTATTAATAAAAATAACTATTTTCCTAAAAATAATGGAAATGCGCATAAAAATGATCTGCATATTTCTTGTTCTGATACAAAAGAATAATTCAATATAAGAAATGCGTAATGAACGGGTAAGGAGAGAAACAATCAATGGCGAAGCATGATAGTGAAAGATGTAAATTCCTTCTATAAAAGGACCATCTTTTATGCAATTTAAAACTAACTCAAGCAATATCTTCCTTTAGCAGGGGATAAAGAGTTGTATGTTAATAAATTGCATAGTAAGTAATGGCTCGGTTAAAGTTAATATCGGTGTTATTATGCTTATGGGTTGGATCAATGTTTATGGTTGAATGGGGAGATCCTTATATTTTGTTCGAATGTCATGTTACCTATGACAATGTTTCTCCCTTGGGAATTCCCATTAAAAGTATTACTATAATGAATGATTGAAGTAATCATTTACGACAATGGGATGTGTTACAATGTTCAGAATGACTATGAGTCACTTGATGTGCATGTGGGACATTGCTACACTGTGCTGGTCACGACCGACAAGGAACCAAGGGATTACTATGTTGTTGCCTCTTCTCGTTTTACGAAACGAGAGCCTACAACAATGTGCATCATCATGTACCTGAATGGTAAGGGAGGGCCGTCATATGAGATTTCTAGGCCACCAATTGGATGGGCTTGGTCACTCAATCAATTTCGTACATTTCGATTAAACCTTACAGCTAGTGCTGCAAGGCTTAACCCTGAGGGATCGTACAAAAATGCTGGGATTAAACACCGCTGAGAAGGTAGATGGAAAGCTTCGATATGCAATTAACGGAGTCTCCTTTGTGGAGCCAACCACTCCTTTGAAACTTTCCAAATACTACGGAGTTGCAGACAAGGTTTTCAAGTATAATAATATTCCAGATGAGCTACCAGCTGAGATCTCAAAAGTAGCTCTAGAACCTATTGTCCTCAATATGACACATAAAAGCTTTGCGGAAATTATATTCGAAAATCGATAAACGACCATTCAATCTTGGCAAGTCGATGGCTATGCATTTTTCGTTGTGGTGTAAGTACTGTTGGATTGGAACCACTAATTAATCTAACTAAGACTGTTGCTTTTAACA